TGACGGATTGATATTGAAATGAGCGTCCTTTTTTTGTGCAAGAAGGGTCGTTATCAATGTCCCATATCCAATGCGCAAGTGTCCACTAAAGACTTTTGTTGATGCTCAGAAGCAGGCACGCTTCAATCCAAGCCTCGTCGGCATTGCTCAGACAAGCAAAGCAGCAATGGGCAAATGCAAGCCGCACGTTTTAACTTTTATAAGCCCTTTCATACAAGTGCGAAGTGAGTAATTGCAAAGTAGTGCACACGGTGCAGCTCGGATCTGCGTTGGATCGTCTTACAGCTTCAAATCAAGACCCTGCAGGTGCAGGTGGAGTTGGATGCCTTTGCGTCAACTGGAAGATGCATCGGGCGCTTTGTGGCTGTGGCAAGCTGATCGAGCTGAAGCTTGGCTGAAAACTCGCACCTGAATATGCTGCCGCCACGCTTTCGTGAAGTCCATTGAGTGAGACAGGTGGGACATATCTGCCAAAGGCAACGATGAGAAACCTTCACAGCGGCTGACTGCCTTTACCGGCCATACTGCTCCGGTACTGTCACTTCTAGTGGATTGGGCCGAGCAGATCATGATCTCAGCTTCTTCAGTCGCAGTCTCAGTCAAAGCCATGCCGAAACGACTGAAATGACTGCAAAACAATTGCAAAATGATGCCGAAATTACTGAAGTGATCAGCTCAGACACGTAGGTTGTTATGGCACCCTGGCTGGCCCCTGGGTTATGGCTTCTTCTCACTTGTTGATAACTCTTTGGCTCACTGCGGCTGATACACGTCGATCACATCTGTTTCGCAGCAACTAGACTCTAGAGCATCTTAGGGTCCACCCAAAAGCGTGCCATTGCCAGTTCTCATTGGAGTGCCATCATGAGACTCAAATGCAAGAAGCCGAGACTGCAATTTGCTTGGCTTGCATCTGGGAGATGTCCCGATCTCAGGCCGACTGTAAGCAAAAATCTGCCATAGTGGCCCCTTTAACCTCTCTTTTCATTGCCGACTCGGTACAAAACCTGCTTAAGTCAAGCCCAGTTTTCTTAAATTCCTGCAATCACTGGGAGGAAAGATCTCTTGAAGTCGTGCATTTGAAGTCATAGACTGGTACGCACATACCCCGAAACCTGACGCAACAGAATTTGCTGCGTTTCAATGGGGTTTCCTGCATGTCCCCTGGCTGATCTGCACAATTGGCGTCTACGGTTTTTTGTTTTTTAATACTGTTCTGGGCCAAGCAGCAAATAGCTACCTCCAGAAGCACAAAACAAAGATTCGCCTTACGCGGAGCATGCCCAGCTCAAAATTAGTTTTCCGGGTGTGGGTTGCTTGCTCGAACTGCCGCCAACCACTCGCTGATGCTGATGATGTTTGCATTCATTTTTTCTTTATTATTGTTTTTATTGTTTTTGTTATTGTTTTCTAGGTGCTGCAGAGACAATTTTCAAGAGGCTCGATTTCCTCCACGAGTGTTTTGAAAAAGGGCAAAGGCATGATTTAGGTATGAGAGCCCAAGGCATGACTTGGGCATACCGACATCATCTCAGCTCAGCATCTTTTCAACACCAGTAATAAAATTCAAGCTTCGCTCATGCGGACTGTGCTCATTGGAGTCGAGCCCCAGCAACCCGAAAACGGTCTTCCCAGTCGCTGCCCAGGACAAGACTTTGCGGAGATGGGATCTAAAAGATTCGGTGCTTCTCGAGACCTTTCCCGTTGGAGACGCGCAGATCAGGTGCTTGAATGGTCTTCGTTGATGCTATGCATCACTGATCATCACTGCCATGAGATTTCGCATTGCCAGGTGCCTCTCTAGCCCATTCAGCCCAGCTACGTCAGTGGTGGCGGGTGATGAGAAGGGTAACCTCCAGATCTGGGACACCAAAACTGGAGCCGTCGAGAAGCGGATGTCTGGGCACACTGCCTGGAGCCTAATGGTCACTGAGCTTGGCTCTGCGAATGTCGGTTTCCCATCTGTGGCTTGGCCTTGGGGCATCAAAGCTCGGTCCAAGCGGTTGCACACGCAAACGTGCCGCAAACTGAAAGTCGAAGAATTGCTGGTATTGAAGCGCCGACGAAGCCGACGATCAAGAGAAACGAAAATCAAGCGAAGGAAGAGAAGTCAAAAGCAGACGCAACAAAGTGCCAGTGGGAAGAACGCGCTGCCGTAGTAACGGCCTGCATTTGCGAGACTTTGCTGCGAAAGAAAACCCTGCAGAGAAGACCTGGGGCCCGGCTGGTGTCGGCTGACTGCTCACACGGGCCTGTGTGGAACAGGCATGTTGACAGCTTCTGTTGGACTTGCTCTTCTTTGAGAGACCTCTGTTCGGGCATCGGAAAGAGTTTTGTCGCGCAGCGACAGCGCGAAGCGGGATTACGAGGCTTCATAAGGATTAGGAGACAACGCGATTCCCAAACTTCGATGTGACGGCGTAGACCAATGCAAAGCCCTCCCAAATGGATTCTTTTGTCGACTGCAATGCTAGGAGTACTGTAGCAACAGACGCGAGATCCATGCCAAGTACTCCTAAAAGGTTTGTGGTTTGACGTCCGGTCTGTTGTTACTTGTCAATTGAGCTGTGACCTTTGCTTGCTTCGTATAGTCCTGCCTGATCCCACGAGCATGCTGCTCAGATGAAACTACCCCTGCTTCAGGATGGTGTGCTGTGCGTATCCCAGGTGCATGCAGGCTGGATGGGGAAACCTTGCCAACAGACACTTTGCACGTTGTTCTCCACATGCCACATGGGGAAGGAGGTGGGTTGGTCAAGTCACGCAGAAATCCAAGTGTGTTTCGCAAAGCTCAAGTTGATTCGCCTTGCCAAGAGCTGATCCCTTCCCCTAAACGACCCCAGATCTCACTTCTCTAAAGTGAAACTCCGGAAACGTGTGAAAGAGTTGTTCATGGGGATAGTAGGAGGTATATGATGGTATTGGATTTCGGAAGTGCAGTCCAAGCACTATACCCCCAAGCTGCCAGCTTGCGATACACAGCCTCCCAAATCCAGTAGCATCACCATGGCCATCGTTCACCCGGGAACAGTGTTGTGAAGCACGTGGCTTTGAGTCAAGGACACTTGCTCTGTCTAGTTGCAGCAGAGTGGACGGCAGGGGTGATTCAGCCCGTGAACTTATAGTGAAATATGGGCCCCTGAAATGTTTGCAGCCGTCAAAAAGATTATAGAAGGGCCTAAGAGGCTGCCGCTACTCTCAGCGCATGTGTGAAGGCGATTTAAGGCGGTATGGAGTCGGCACAGAGAGTAGCGAACCCGTAAAGGTTGCAGCGATGCCCATTTACTGCTTTTGCTCGGTTGTGCCGGGGTTGCTGGTTCGTAGTTTTCGGCGCCCTTCGCTCGTCTCAAAAAGTCTCAAGTCGAACTTTCGCGATTTTCAGACCTTGCCAGCCCGAACTGACATCCCTTCAGAATTTGAAAGTTAAACGCAATCTGAAAACTACACCTTTATGGCCTGGCAAAATAACAAATGAGTAATGTAATGAGTCAAAAGCCTCAGCACACCCGCCGCGCACAAAAGGGTTCTGGAAACAGATCTAGCTTGGCAACTTTCAGCTGCTTCGGCAGTTGTGCCTCTCCAAACCTGCAGTGCCTAGAACAAGCAATGAAATACAGGGCGCAAGAACAGCTTGAAGGCGGCTCTGAATTCCTTCCAAAACCCTGGCAGTCCCCAAACACCTTGAATCTCACTCAACTTTCTCTAGGCACCAATAAACCCGTAGCAGTTGCTTTGCAGGTTTCGTCGTAAGTGGAGGGCGAGACGGCCGACTGTGCTATTGGCGGCTGGAAGACGGTCTTTGCTTACGGTCTGTGGAGGTTTCGGAAGTCAGTGCAGGCCGAACGACTGCTAGCAGTAGTTTGACCGCGCCTTTCGGCCATGGACATGTCCGGCAGATGCTAGGGTTCAGATTTTGCTGGGCTTGGGTGGTGTAGGGTTGCCGATGTGAATGCAACATCCCCCGTACTGCGGTGGCTACTTGGGGAGTCTTGACATGCTGATGAGCGCGGCAGCCAGCCCCCAACAACGATTGTTTGACGATATTCGTGATTCTACGGCACGGGCCGGATGCAAGGTCGACGTGAGTGTTGATGGTGTCCTCTAGGGTCCGACCCTGCAAAAGGGGTTCGGAGCTCTTGCGATCCTGTAAAGCCATTTCCCATGCAAAAAGCGAACAACAAGGGTGGGGTGGGGCATGTTGGGGGGAGGGGGGTGGGATTAGTGGGCAGACCATGTGGTCGTGGAGTACTTACGGGAAGCTCCGACGTCCATGCCCAGGTGGGCTGAAAGCATCTTGCGATGTTGTCGATTTCAAATTCGCGACCGCTTCGCTGTTGCAGTTTCTGATGTTTGGGTGTTGAAACGTGCTGCTGGCAGCCGCTTGTGTGGGCGCGAGGGCGAAACATGAAAGATCAACTAGGCCAGGGCCATGTTGAGCACATGTTGCCGTGCTGCCATCAGCGTAGTATATTAGAAGAAAGTTGCTTTAACCCCCTGCGAGCGTCGCACAGAGTACGGGCTCAACGCACACAACCCGATCTCAACGATACGTGTTTTTTTGTCTTGCGATGTGGGTGGGCCAGTCCAGGACGGCGTAGCATGATGCAACACGCAGCCAGATCGGAATCGGCGTAGTTTTGGAGAATGCTTCAATGCAGCTTCAAATCGGGGACATGCCCATGTCCGAATCGTGTGACCGTGCGCAAAGCACTGCATGCACAAAGCACTGCATGCGCATGTGGCGGGTACATGAGCCACACGAGTCGTCCATACAGATGCTTGTATGGATTTCGTGACGTGGCTTCTTGGTTTCTTTTCACTTTCTTGGCTCTTTGGGCTTCTGGGCTTCTTGGCTTTTCAGACTACTTTGTCCTAGGCCTTCCAGGCTCATTGATTTGTTTCACTTCTTTTGTTGCGGTGGTGTTGTTGGCTTTTGAGCCTCTTGGCTGCCTGGCTGTTTTCCTTTTTACTTCTTGGCCAGCTTTGTCTTCGAGGCAGACAAAACGGTTATTGTGTCCTCCCAATCAGCTTGGGTGCTGGGAGGGTCTTCTCTTCGAGCACTCCCCGAAAAACTTTCTGTTGGGAGGCCTTGCCAAGCTCGGTGGAGAAGGTAGTAGAACTAACTATAGCTGCTCATGGGTAAGTTGCATGTGCCGTGCAGTCCTATGTGATTCATGAAGCGTGGGAGAACCCATGAAGGTGTTTGGGTGGTGGGTGTTGCCATGCTACCAGAGCGAGCCGACGATCATCGAAAGGCAAGCTACAGATGATAGCCTTGGCAGTAAACATGTGGTGTCAGTACAGAGATTGCTACGGATTCCGAAACTTTGTTGTCTTCTGTTGGCCTGCGCAGCAAGGCCATGGCAAATGCCCGACATGGGACATTTGCAGATGGACTGGCAATGACTTCCGGTCATGGCCCCTAGCCCTAGCGGGCCTGCAGCTCAATGTTAGCGGCGGTGGCTAGGTGCAAGATGTCAGCGTTGGATCAACAAGGCTTGGCAAAGTCAAGCCTTCTCGACGGACCTCAAGGGAAAAGAGCGGCAGCAAAGCTTCCTCACACCCATGTCATCCTCTCGCCTGAATCCTGCGCGCACCTTCCGCTAAAGACACTGGCCTTGTGCCCGGCCGCACGCTGCGGCGGACGCTGCGACTTGATGCGACTTGCAAGTCGACCTGCGAAGCATCGTGGAGCGATGTGGAGCGACGTGGAACGCGCAACTTCAATGATGCGTGTAGTATGTGTAGTGCACGGCTGTGCACCTACAAGATCGTATAAAAGGTGGAGCATGGGCGAGCCATGTGTGACAGGCGCGTGATTGTAAGAGCCTTCGAGCGAGGTGAATGTGACCCGCGTTACTGCGCTGCGGTTAAGTGGAAGGAGCTTGCGCTCGCCTTCTCACAGTGTTGCCGGTGATGCCGCCCGCTTCAATCACCTTTCTTACTTGTATCCTTACTGTAGTTGGGCGATGTGACGGTCTTTGCTCTCCACCCTGCCAGTAGAACGCGCCATACTTCTTGGCGTAGCTGATCGGCCTCGGGATTCACCACTTCGCACACGTGTCACTGTGCTATGCCGTGCTTCTCGAGGTTGTCGGTGTCGTGTTGGTGGCCTGAGTCTTTGTCGTCCACCTCCAAGACCAGCTTGATTCGCGAGGATTGTTCTTTTTGAATCACGGCCTTCGGTTGTTAATCTCATCCTGATGAAGGCAACACTTGGAAATTTCGTGGCATTCGTCCACTGGACCCTAGAAATTCACTACTTGCCAAAGGCGGCTCCCTTTGAAAACTTGATTGGCGGCCGGTCTTGGATTTCTACAGCTTGTTTTTCGGGCAAGTAACCGCTCAGGAAACTTTGGGGGTTTGGGGCGAGGTCTCCCGATTACGTGGGAGAGGTCTATTAGTTAGGGGCTTGGGGCCTGAAAGGCTGCATGCCCTTTGAAAACTTGGCCGGTGGCCGGCTGTAGTAAGAGTTGTTATTGATGTTTATGGTTTATTGATATTTCTTGCACCATCGCGTAAAATGTCACAACGACCTCGGAAACAAAGCAAACATAAACAACCGAATTATCATGTCTTCTGGTCAAGATGCAGTGAATGAGTTGTACAAGTCATAGTTCGTCCATAAACGTCTATTAGAAGTGTTTAGATTCCAATGTTGAGTTTTTTTGCCTGTTTGTCCGCGAACGAAGCGGCCAAAAGAAGCACGCGTAGTGCAATAAGAGCACTGGTTCATGAAATGGATCATAAAGTTCACGTGTTGCAAATGGAATTTCTCTTGTTTTCCCTTGCGATCCTTCATGCTTGGTCTTCCTGCCAAGGGCCCCAGCTTCGCCACCCTTTGCCCTTCGGCTCGCAGTTTCCTCGTCGGCCGCGACAACTGGGTGCCCCCAAAGTTACATGAGCTGAGTAACTTAGTGTGGCTTAGTATGGCTTCGTGCTTCGCAGGGCCCGGAAGCCGCCTCCTCCCAAAAATGAGATGGAATCTACAGTTCTTTGTTTGAAAACCCTTCTGAGGAGGCATTTGGAGCTCTGACGTCGGCCAAGGGTCCACGGGAATCCGTGGGTCCATGGAGCCGCTAAGGCGCAAAAACAACGCCAAATTGTGCAGCATCATTGGTCGACGATGTCGGGAAACTCACCAACTGCGGTCGCATGTACTTCCTCGAGACGATTAGGCGATGATCGCATTGTGCAGAATGTTGTGGGCCGTGTTGGCAAGCCGGCAACTGGCCTGCGATGTTGTGCGCGCTGAACGAGCATGTTCAAGTGAGTCCGTGCCACAAACCCGAAGGTGCGCTTGTTTGGACACCGGTGTGACGAGCGAACCGCCCATCAGCGAAATCATGATGTTCGCAAGGAGCGAAACCCTCAAAATTTAGACTCATTGGGGCATACAAGGCGACTTCGCACGATAGAATTCCGGATTGTTCCTGATTCTTCCAGGGACATTAAGGATGATAAGGATGGGATTGTCAAGGACCTGCTTTAAAGTTAAAGTGGGTTGTTACTCAATACTTTGATCAATAGCTTTACGAAGCCATCGAATGCGTCTGCAGGGCATCCAAATGTTGTTATGTGCTCCTCATAGAGTAATGTAGTGATTGCAAGCGTGAATTACAAATGACAATGCGCCCCTGACGCAGCCACCATCCCAACAAAATCCTGGTGGCTTAAGTTCGTCCACCGAGTCTGCAATCATGTTATTTGGTCTCGCAGCTCCGGCCATTGCGCGCGCCCGTTTTTCTTCGGGTGATGAGGCCTTGCCACATCCGCAGATGCCGCCTTCCAATTGGATGAGATATGGGCAGCCTTCAAAACAGTCGGTTTGGTATTGACAGGCACGGAATTGAAAACGCCGGGTGGGCTGTATGTTGTCGACACAGCAGTCCCACTCGTCAGATCTCAACTATCAATCACATTCAAATCAGCTTGCGAGACCTGCAAGGGCACGTCCGGATTTTCGGTGACAAAAGTGTTTCAATACGTGACGACTTGAAGGTTTGGAAATCCTAATCCAGAGTGTTGCGAACCTAGCGTGATAATCTCTGTGATCTCACAGCTTATTACGGGGCTCTGCCACCAGATTTTCGCATCCAGCGCCGGCTCGCATCTTGATCAGCTTAGCACAGCGTGTTCAAGGGAGTCCAGGCCGATGGCACAACAACTTCATGGGATCAACGGGTCAACATGACGGTGGCGAGCAGAACGCCCATCTGAGATTTCATGACAAACAAGCTTGGACATGTTTGTCGCCCGCAACCAACGTGCTGTATGTGCGGTGTCGGTTGCCATTGCAAATGCTGCAGCAGTGAGTCGGCGACGAGTTCCTGTTGCAACTATCGATGCGTGACGATGCGGGGCAGTGCGTGGCTTTTCATGGGCTGTGCCGCAACTCGAGGGGTCAAGCACCCCACTCTGCTCAACAGATCGCATTTAAGCAAGCGGCGACCCCATTGGGACACGCGGGCTTGGAGTCTGTTGCGCTTAGAATTGTGTTTTTCAACGATCTTGTCAGAACTTAAGTTCTTGTTAGCAGGCCGGGACGTGCTACGTGATAAGGCAAAAGCCCAAGCATGCTCACGCCCATCCTCATGAGGAGAGTCTCGAAAGGAAGCACGTCCGACTACGGGAAGTCAGGTATATATGCCTTATATATAGTCAACTGCAGCGCAGGAGCCGCAGGGCCAACTCAGTGGAGGTCTTTCGCGAGCCTCCTTTCTTGCGACTGTTTTTGCAGATGGCGACGGGGCAGTCTGAGGGGGGAGCCTGATGTTGAGGTCGTCTCCTTGGAGGGCCGGCCCGGGCTCCCAACGACATGTCCCTTGCCAACACATGACTCGTTTGGACGAGCCACTCCCTCCCTCTTCGATGAACTGGTGTCACTTGCGGATTCGACAAAAGGAGGAACACTGAGCTGACAACGACCGTGGCT